TAACAACAAGTCTCTCATGATAGAGATGTTACTGGGCCCGCTCGAGCAAATCAATAAACAATGGGAGGACTGTGACCGTGACCGTGACTCTACTCTCCTTACTGGATAAAACTGGTAATGGACACTGTACATAAAGTCCTCTTGAACCTACTTCCTGATTACTATATAAAAAATACTCTTAATAACATTTCACTACTATTCTGTGTACCTATAAAACATGATCATGTTCTTCAACCACATGCTCACTACCCCTCTCATAAACATGCATAGCTTTCACTAGAAATTCTCCTAAATATGGATAGACTATTATGTTACTCTAACTTTACATTAAACCAAGTTCCTTCTCCCCCTGAAACTTGTTTTAAAGCCTATGTTCACTAGATTCATTCCACAATTTATAAGCTGATTTCTATTTCTTTTATTTTAATACTCTGATTTTGGGGACACATGCAGAGGTGCTCAGGGGTTATATCTGGTAGTGCTTATAAAACATTAGGTAATGCTGGGGAACAACTGGGGTTGGCCTCATTTAAGGTACTGTCTTTCTCATCATAAAGCCCCTTCTCTTCATCTCTCTTCTCTGTAAATTTTGGATTATAATATTCATGTAAAAGACAGTGATAACAACCAAAGATAGAAGACCTATAATGTTCAATTTAATTTTCTTTAGCTATTCTGAATTGTGATTAAGTCACTATATTTTGTCTCAATAATGCAATTTGTACTTATATTACAAAATTACATACAAATACATCAATACGAGTCTCAAAAATAAACTCATTGATTTTGTCATGCATCATAATATTCCAAAGATAGTATACTATCAATTCTCATTTTAAGCTCTTCCATTTCCTCAAATGGTGAAGAGTATTTATTTATTTTTTGCTTTTTGGGTCACACCCGATGATGCACAGGGGCTACTCCTGGCTCATACACTCAGGAATTACTTCTGGCCATATGGGATGCTGGGAATTGAGCCCGGGTCAGCTGTCTGCAAGGCAAACGCCCTACCCACTGTGCTATCGCTCTATCTCCCCTGGTGGAGAGTATTTTATCAGATAATTTGTTTTAAAGATTGAGTCTATCTATGACTGAAATATAGTTGTGTGAACCTCTCTGATAAAGTACACATTTCAAATGAACCTGGGCAGCAAAAGTATAGTTGGTATATTTAGTGTATAAGTTTTCCCTTTCCCCCCAATTATATGCATTTAAGAGTTCAGGTATAAGAAAAGTACTTCAGAAAGGGCTATTTCCTCTTATCTCAAATTTATTCAAGTAAAGCCAAGAAGAGTGGTTTAAGAACTTTTAACTTACTGAAAACCTAGCAAAAGTTTTAGAAGAGACACATATTTGAAAATGTGTTCAAAGTAGTAATAATTCTCTTACTAACTTAATTTTTATACTGCTCCTAGGATCTTTCTGGCTTAGTCATTAAAGTTAAAATGTGTTAAATTCATGAAATAGATATTTTAAAAATACTTTTAAGAGGTCAGACAAAAAGTAAGATTGGTATTTAATATGGAAATATCAGAAAAGTTAGTACTTTACTTAAACCACAAAGGCAGAGTGATTTAATAATTAGGAAGTACAAGGGTCTAGGGATGTGGCTCAGTGGTAGAGTGTATATCTTGCATGTGTAAAGTGGTTTCCATCCCCAGAATGAGGGGGAGGGGAAGTGTAACTATTCAGAAAAATATAGAGCCTAGGGGTTTAAAAAAAATTAAACCTAGAAAAAAACCCAAATATTAATTAAGTTTTGTATTTGTCACCACACAACTTTCTCTACCACTTTGTTATAATATTAAAAACTTAAGTTCACAGATCTATCAGCGGGAAGTTTACTTCTTATTACTCGGATAATATATAAAATCCTGAATTCCAGTACTTTGTTTTTTAAGAAGAGGAAAGATTTTTTTATTATTATTGTTTTTTTGGGTCACACCCGATGATGCTCAGGAATTACTCTGCACTCAGGAATTACTCCTGGCAGTGCTTTGGGGACCATATGGGATGCCAGGGATTGAACCGGGGTTGGCCACATGCAAGGATAACACCCTACCCACTGTACTACAGCTCGGGCCCTCAAGTACTTGCAAATGTAGATGTATTTGGATTTTCTCTAATGAACAGAAAAAAATATTTATGATCAAGATTTTTAATTTTCTTTTTTGGGTCACACCCAGCAGTATTCAGGGGTTATTCCTGGCTCTGCACTCAGGGATCACTTCTGGTGGGGCCCAGGAGACCAAATGGGATGCTGTGGATCAAACCTCAGTCCACACTACAAGCCAAGAAACTGCTCTCTGACCACTGTTCTATTGCTCTGGATTCCCATACTTAAATAGGTTGAAAATATGTTCTTTTAAGTAGTTATGCTCTTTAAAATGGCTATATTACAGACAAATAATCTACACCCCTTTTGAGGAAACACTGTGAAAGGAAAGAGCTTTAGACACAATTATGTTTTCTAGGTTGAGTTTTATTGTGTGTCAAAAAATACACTATTACATAAATAAGAGGTTAATTTATTTGTTTTTCTTTTGGGGGGCCTCACCTGGTGATGCTCAGGGCTTACTTCTGACTCTGCACTCAGAGATCACTCCTGGTGGTGATGCTGGGAATCAAACCCAGGTCAGCTGCATGCAAGGTAAGTGCCCTATAACTGTACTATGTCTCTGGGTCCCAATAAGAGATTCATCTAAAAAGAAGACTTTAAGATATTTAAATTCTTACATACTAGCTTGAAATATGACCGTAAGTATAAAATTCCAATCTAGAATTTTATGCTGAAGGGGCATGACTTTTTGAATTGAGCTGAAATATAATGGTCAACCCTCTCAGGAGAAAAAATAATAGTCAACTCCCACTCCATTCCATGATAAGGTCTAATCTCTTTGTATTTAGCTCAAAAAGAAGATGAGTGAAACTGATTGGAAGAGGCACAAGGTGATTTTCTGGGCACTGCAAATGCTCTATGTGTTAATCTGGGTGATAGTAACTTGTGATGTACAAGGAAAATTTCACTGAGCTGTACAGTGAAGACCTGTAGCACTTGATAGTATATTGTATATTTTATCTTTAGAATAAAAATTGAAGGGCATTTAGCCACTTTAAGAAATTTCCACCAACTATTTTATAGTGGCTCATTAAAATAATTCTGTGGTCAAATGTAGAGAGGAAATAAAATACTAATGTTTATAGCATACAAACTGCATGACATTCTGACAATATTGGGATTGATATATCTGAACTATATTTGAAGTCAGATATTCAACAATGATTGGGCAGAAATGGTGTCAAGAAGAATGCAAATTAGCAGTTTACTTATGAAGGCTGGAATATTAAGACAGCTTGGACAACAAGGAGAGAAGATGAGAACAGTCAAATAAGCGCATGACTACAGCATGATTATTTATGATTACCCATGCTTTTTTTGCTGCTGCTTACTGTTTAGCTATTTGTCATTATGTTGCTTGGGTTGACTCAGGATGGAGAAAGAAAAGAAAGTTAGATTAATGTTGCTGCTGATTTTTTTGTTTTCCAGTGTGCTTTTAGAAAGCTTAAGTTATAACTGTGATTTTCAGTTTTTACATGGTACTTCCTATTTTCAGGAGAGAACCGATTTATGTTGGAAATATACACTGCCTATAATTCAAATGTTTTTCACCTTTGCTCAGAACTATGTTAATTCTTATCACCCCCAAAAGCTTTTGAGAGGATTAGTTGCACACACCAATATCGTTCTATATTAAGTCAGTATTAAGCATATGATGTCACCTTGTTTCCTCTGCTGCTCAAGCTTTTTTTTTTTTGCGGGGGGCGGGGCGGGGAGACCTTTTTTTGGGCAAGTCTCAAAATTCTGTGGCTTACCTACCACTAGCAGCCACACATGATTGACAACCTCACACTTCCAAACCTGTTTGAAATGGGTCAAATACCTAAGCGCTGCAGAACAATGCGATCCAACCAGCCAATTCCTCATCAAGAGAAAGGGGGTGTGATTAGGTTCCAGATCTAAAACAAGTTACTGCAAAAAAAAAACCCACAAAAAAACCCCAAAAAACAAAACAAAACAAAAAAATCCCAAAACCCACCCAACCAAAAAAAAAAAAAACAAACAACCAAATAAAACATAAAACAAAACCCAACCCAACCAAACAAATAACCCATCCAAAACACTTTGGGGGGTGTTTCTGCGTTGGGCATAGGTTAAGCACGTCCTTGCCCACCGCCTGCCTCCTCCCACCCCCCAACACCAGGCTGGAAAGGGGTAGCCTGAATGGCCCAAGCACCGAGCCGCCAGGGCAAACCTTTAGGGCTTTCTGGAGCTCTTTCTACGACCCCCCCGCCCCCCGCGTTGATTATAGACCTGGATGCCTGCGGGGGAACTCTCGGACGTAATGTGCGCCAGACTGAGCGGGCAGCGGGAGAGGAGATGCAGGAGGGAATATCAGCTTCTAATAAAAGAAACGCAGCAACAATAGCGGAGGAGCAGCTCTGCCTGGTGACGTAATGGCTGGCCGCGCGCCAGCCTCCGCCGAGCTGCTGCTACCTCAGCACCCGACCTCTCTGCACAGCCGGGCTCCGGCCCGAGCCGCCGCGGCCACCACTTCTCGCCCGGCCGGTGTGTCGCCTTCTGAGGGCCAGAACCTCCGAAGACAGGGCTGTCCGGCCACGCTGAAGTTGTCCAAACACCCCCACTCATTCATTCGTCCTCACGAAACCCCCTCGAGGAACCGGGTCCATCGGCGGCTTTTAACTTTTCGGGCGAAAACCGCGGCGCCCACTCCGGCCGTGCCTCAGTTTCCCCAGGCTGAGCTCGGGTCCGCTTCGCACCCCCTCATCCACCACCCCCCCCGCCCGCCCCTCCTCCCCTACACACACACACACACACACACACCTCTCCGCTGCACCCCATCCCGCTTCCCCCCGGCCGGGGCTCCGCAGGAGTTGGTCGCGGCGGCCGCCCCGCACGCCTGTCCTTCCTCCCGCCTTACCTCGGCCAGGTAGAGGTTGAGGAGACAGAGCGTGGAGAACTGGAGACAGGAGGGGAAGCAGTAGAGCAGCCAGTGGGGGAAGAAGTGCAGGTGAGCGGGCGGCCGGAGCAGGGGCAGCGAGCCGCTGAGCGAGAAGGCGGCGGAGAAGAGGGTGGTCCTGAGCGCTGCCCACAGGAGACAGAGGAAGAGGCAGAGGCTCTGGTAACTCAGGCGCCGCTCGCGGTACAGGAGCAGCCGCCACAGCTGCAGGTAGGCAAAGGCGAAGAGCGCGGCGTAGAGCAGGGCGTGCAGGACGCTCAGCGCCAACTGCACCGAGCCGGGCATCGCGGCGCCCGAGGCGCCCGAGGCTGCCGCTGCCGCCGCCGCCGCCGCCGCCGCCGCCGCCGCGCCGTCCCCGCCGGGCGTCGAGGGCTCGCGGCCGGCCACAGGGGCCGCGGGGGCGGCCGCCGGACCCGGCACGGACACCCTCATGAGGGGGACTGAGGGCTGGCGGGGTGGGGGGCTGGTCGGGGGGAGAAGGGGAAAGAGCGCGGGAAGAGAGACGCCGGATTCGGAGCCGCCGTCGAGGGGTGGGGGAGAAGGCTTTTCCCCTTACCCCCCACCCACCCCAGTCTCCAACCCCAGGAAGTGCCGTGACAGGACCCGGAGCCCCGCGCCGAGCAGTCCAGGCTCCCAAGGATCCCGCCTCCTTTCCCCTCCTCCCCTCCTCGCCCCCCTCCCGCCCCCCCGGGGGTCTCGGCTCCTCCTGCTGCGGCTCGACTCCGTAAGCTGCAAAAAACAACTCTCCGCTGGAGACAATCAGCTGAGAAACCCGAGCATTTGAGGCGCTCGCTCCGCACCGTGGGCTCGCGCCGATTGGTCCAGGCGGGCACGCCCCCCGCGCGCCGCACTCGGAAGACCACGGGTCGCGGGAACCGTCGCTCTAGAGCCTCGACCTCTGATAGGACGTTCGCTTTCTCCGCTTTCTCCCGCCTCTTCACTCCCCACCCACGCTGCCGATTGGCTCGGCAACTGCACAGCCCGCTCGCGCCGGCGGGAGGACTCGGTTGTCGCCTGTCACCAGGGGCGGCTCTGGCTCCGCCTCCTGCACTTCTCATTGGTTGGAGAATCCCACGTAAGGAACACGAGGAGAGGGAGGAGCTCCGCGGGCTGTTTTTTTTTTTCTTCTCCCCCAGCGTGAAATTCAGACTCCTCGAAGCTGGAGGTGGTCTCTAATGCCGAGTGAGGGGGCGCTGCTCGCTAGCCGGTGGGCGTAGCTATACGCGGCGGCCTGGCTTAGAGGAGCGTGTCTCCGCCTTCTGTTTCTTCTTCCAGTGGCGGGGACTGTCTGTCGCGCGCCAGGGGATGCCCACAGGTCTCGGGCAGGTAGGTGGCAGCAGCGCGGGACCTTAATTAAGGCATGGACTGTGGTTTCTGCCTGCAGAGGTGAGGCTTTAGACAGGTCCCCCAGTCAGAGCCGAACCTCCAAATTCTGGACTTTGTTGCTTAAAGTAGGGCCCTCACCTGCCTCCTTTCGAGGGGGCGTTTCGCTTTCTGTTTTCTTGTCTAGCGGGAGCAGCAGAGAAGGGATGGATGAGGCGAAGGGCGAACCTAAGCTTCAAGTGGAAAAAAAAAAAATCCTTCCCGGGGAAGGTTCTTTAGAGCCGAGCGGTGTTAGGAGGGGATGTTGGCTGGAGCGGTCTGTAGGGCCAAGGTGGGTTTGTGAACCTTCGAATTTGGGAAGAAACTCGGGTCATAAGTTTGAGCTTTAAAAACACTTACAAGCCTTTGATGGAGGGAGAGAGAAAAAGCAGGGGAGTCCGGGCGCCTGGAATTCCACGTGCCAGTTCAAGCCTTCTTCCTGAGTGTGCTAGTGGATGGCGCTGTTACTAAGGCTCAGAGAGGTGCATCACAAATACTGTATTACAGTGAGGAACTGCCAAGGCGTATTGCACTGACCCTGAACATTTGCCGAAGTGATTGGTGATGGCCCCGGGGGGTATTTGGTGATAAAACAAAGTAGTACACAAATTCAAGTAAACTAGTGAAAGATACTGCTTAGATTTGCTGGTGCAGCCGAGAACCAGACTTTCCTAACCCGCGCCGGCCACCCCCCCCCCCCCCCCCCAATCCTAATGCTTTTGCCTAAGAAGAGTGTTGTTACCTTGGTAGCAAAGTCATCCACAGGGAACGACAATATCCGTTTTGTACTTCAGTGTTAGGGGCTAAAGGTTCAGGTACTAGATGTTGGCGCATTTTGGATTTCTTACAGGGTGGTGAAAAGCTGTGATAGGTGTTAAGGTGCTGTTCTGTTCCATGGTGATCCCTTATCAGAGCAGCTTGTGCTATGCTTTATACCGCAGATTGTAACAGCTGTAAAAACGAATCCATCTCATTTGACAGTTACATTCTAACAGAGGAGTGCACGGTTAGTAGAATTTAAGAACCTTGCCTTCAGAACTGGAACTATGGAACTGAGCTGGGTGGGAGGCGCTGGGGATGAGAGGGGTATTGGGATATTGGTGGAGGGCAGTGGCACTGTGGTGGTGGGTGTAGTGCTGGAACGTGTATGCATGAAACCGCCATTAACAGTATTAAAAATCATGGTACCTCAAAAAAAGTAGAAAAATTTTAATACTGACTTATGGATTCTTAGACTAGGGACTCACAAAGAACTAGAGTGCTCGACAGTAGTGAGTTAACTACTTTTAAAGGCTTAAATGCATAAAATTAAGCACGAACTCTGATTGAACTTAACCAAAACCATGGGGCAATTCTTGTTCCTTGGCCTATTTTTTTTTTTTTTTTGTTATTCTTAACCAAGAAGGTGCAAGTTTCAGGTCAGGAATAGATTTTGACCATAGAGGGTTTTAGGTTTTATTTTTTGTCATTTTCTCCTATATTCTCTACTCAAATTGATAGTAAACCATAATTAGATAGTAAAACATAGTTAGGCCCATACTATTTTTTCCTTTTTATTAGGTTTTTGTTATTGTTTGTTTTGGGACCATACTTGCTTATGCTCAGGGCTTATTCCTGTCTCTGCAGTCAGGGATCACTTTTGGTAGGGCTCAGAGGATCTTATGGGGTGCTAGGGTTCCAACCTAGCACCTGCTAACACTGGGTTAGCAGTGTACAAGGCAAGCTCTCTACCTGCTGTACTATTGCTCAAGTTCCCTAGTTTGTGTTTGTTTGTTCTAAATTTTAGTTAGAGCAAATACTGGTAGTCTCTTCTCCACCCCCCCCTTTTTTTTTTTGTGATGAAGGTGAATAAGTCTGGAGAATGCAAAAAGGTTTTACCCTAACTGCTTTAAAGAGACAGATGGAGAAATACTGCCTTTCTGAGATCTTAACAGATTCTCTCTCATGGGGAGGTACTGGGGATGCTTGTTCTCCACTAGAGCACTTTACTAAACTAATATTTGGCAGAATTTTTTTTGAATAGGAACTTTGTAACAAATATGTTCCCCATTTGTTGCAAAATAGGAAATGTTTCATTTCCAAAATACTGATGTCCACAGGTCTTGGACATATAACTCTTTAAAATTTTTAAAATTGTTTTAGATTTTAATTTTAATTTAATTTTTTAATTTTTAATTTTTTTGGTGAATCATCATGAGTTACAGTTTCAAACTTTCAGACTTTCATGCTTACATTTCTGTCATGCAATGATAGAGTACCCATCCCTCCACCAGTGCCCATTTTCCACCACCAATGTTCCCAGTATCCCCCCCACCCCCTCCACCCGCCTCTGTGGTAGGCACGTTCCCTTTTATTCTCTCTCTCTCCTTTTGGGTGTTGTGGTTTGCAATACAGGTATTAAGAGGCCATCATGCTTGGTGTATAGTCTATTTTTAGCATGCATCTCCCATCCCAGGCAGACCTTCCGAGCATCCTTTACTTGGTGGTCTCTTCTCTGTCCGAGTTGCCTTTTTCCCCAACATGTGAGACTGGCTTCCAAGCCATGGAACAATCTTCCTGGTCCTTATCTCTACTCTCCTTGGGTGACAGTCTCCCATTCTATTACTTTATATTCCACAAATGAGTGCAGTCCCTCTCTTTCTGACTCATTTCACTTAGCATGTTAATCTCCATGTTGATACACTTGGGCATATACTTTTTTTTAAATGGTTACATTTCATTTTTTTGAAGGGATTAACATTATTTTTATTGTAAAGGAAAGGTAGGCCTGAAAAGGAGACATCAAGCAAGTATGTTGCAGACCAACTTGTTACATTTCTTTTGTTTCTTTGGGCCACATCTGGTGGTGCTCAGGGGACCATGTGGATTGAGCCAGGATCTGCATACAAGGCAAGCACCTGTACTTCTTCACTGTTCCTTCTGCTTTTGTTGATAGATTTCTTGTTACTGTTACTGTGTTTGGCATATCAAATACGTCATGGGGAGCTGCCAGGCACTGCTGTGCGGGCAAGATACTCTCGTAGCTTGCCGGGCTCTCCGAGAGGGGCGGAGGAATCGAACTCGGGTCGGCCATGTTGGCTGCGTGCAAGGCAAACGCCCTACCGCTGTGCTATCACTTGAAATATGTCTAAGTGCACAATGATCGAATGTTGTTGTTCTAGCACCTACTTTCTTTTTTTTATATATATATATATATATATTTATTTTTTACAGACTTACAAACTTTCTTCTTTTCTTTTTTGAGTCACACCTTGTGATGCTCAGGAGTTACTCCTGGCTCTACACTCAGGAATCACTTCTGACAGTGCTTAGAGGACCATATTGGGTGCTGGGAATGGAACCTGGGTTGGCCTCTTCCAAGGCAAACACCCTACCGGCTGTGCTATTGCTCCACCCCAGACTATTAAACTTTTATGATTATGTTTCAGTCATACAATGTATTTGTGTACCCATCCCTCCACCAGTGCCCATTCTCCAATGTAGCACCTACTTTCTTGAACTGGGTAGTGACCCTACATAGGGTTGCATGACTTTTAAAAAATTTATTTTAAAAATAAATTATGATTTGTTAGTAAATATTTTGTGTATCTATTTTATTTACTTGCATTCCCATGGTCACAAGAATTTTTTAAGCTGAAAGTGGTCATAGTAACGCTTCAGAAACCTGTGTCCAGAGCAGTAGTATAGTGGATAGGGCATTTACCTTATTTAGGCTGACCCGGGTTCAATCCCCAGCACCCTATATAGTCCTCTGACTCCTTCAGGAGTGATCCCTGAGTACAGAACCAGGACTAAGCCCTGGGGACTGTCAGATATAGCCCCAAAACAAAACAGAACACCAAAAATAACAGCCCCCCCAAGAAGGCTTCAGAAACCATACACTACATAATAAAAGGTAAAAGGTAAAGGCCCTCCCGTTGATCGTCGATTTGCTCGAGCAGGCCCAGTAACGTCTCCATTGGAGACTTTGTTGTTACTGTGTCTGGCATATCGAATACTCTCGGTAGCTTGCCGGGCTCTCTGAGAGGGGTGGAGGAATCGAACTTGGGTCGGCCATGTTGGCCGCTTGT